TTCCTACATTTTTAACATTATTTATTCCTTTGAATTGTTGCCAATACTGAAATAGAAACCACTAATGTCAAAATAGTTATAAATTATTAATCCTCAAAATTGAATGATGTAATAACTAAACATTAAACAATCAATTTTGTTGATAGTAAAAAAGAATACATTATATAATTTCAAGCAGATATTAATCACAAAGAAGTCTCAATAGTTATATATGCTGTAAAATAGTATAGTATTCAGTCAAAGATAATTTAGTGTACCAGTAATTAAATTTAAATAATAGTTTTGACATTCAAAAAATCTTTTAAAACTTTAACATACAAATGAAGAATAAATACAGTAGTCCTTTTTGTATTGTTCATATCAGTTATATCATGCTATTTGAGATAAACCAAATAAGTTACATATGTAACTTATTTGGTTTATCTCAAATAGCATGATATAACTGATGCACTGTAGCTTGTATCTATCCTCCTGTGTTGTCTATTTTCAATTTCCATGCTAACTTGCTTTTTTATATATTGTATTTCACACAATGGTAGTTTTAAGGTCAATGACTGAATGCCAGTAGAAATTCAAACAAACTGATTTTTTTAAAATTATTAGCTAAAGCATTTTTATTTTTGGAAAATGAAAAAAACCAATTATGTATCTGAATGAGCAATATAATGGAGGGCAACAGTATAAGAATTTTAATATGATGTATAAATATAAAATAAATTTCTTAAAATAAACTCTTACTATATCATAACAACGGTTAAGAACAAATTCAAAATATGACATTACTGTAACATTGTGAATTTTATATTTTATATCATATTTAATTAAACAAATATCATATGTACATTTTAGATAGAAATGAGAACTAAAGATTTTTGTCAAAACAGAGCAGAAACATGATAGATATATCACATGAATATGATAAAACTATTTCAATACTTGTTTTTTATTTTGTAATTATGATTTTAAATATATATTACTAGCTTACCCGTCGCACATTGCTGCGATCTCAGAAGAAAGGAAATTTAAGCAAACTCATTATGACAAAATTCAATTTACATTTTATAATTTTTATTAAAACTTATTATTATTACATTATTATTTCGAGTCGATATTAAAATTTGGAAAAGGGGGATACCTAGATCTTTACCGATCTAGGTATCCCCCTTTACCTAGGTATCCCTAGGTAAAATACGCAAATTTCCTCCTACAACTTCGGTTGTTGTTTGGGGTACAGTTGAGGTTTTAATGAAGTTCGAGCGAATACATAATTAGTGAAAAAAAGTTGAAATTAAGTGATTAAACAAAAATTATTACAAATATCGTAAATAACAGTTCACAAATGCATATATAGAGATATTTTTTGAAGGGGGGAAATGGTCTTCACAATTCGAAATCGATCGACCACACTGTGCTCGAATGCTCATGTAAACACGCACCATCTATCGTAGGATAAATGTACTATGCCAAAAACCTTCGTGGGAGTGTATTAAAAAACTTTCCGAAGTTTTATGGCAATCATACTATGCCGCAAACCTTCGCCGGAGAATATTAAACAACTTCCCAAAGTTTCACGGCAACCGGATAAACGGTGTGGTAATGCATGAAGGACAGACAGACACACACACAGACATACATTCATTTTTATATATATAGATTACTGTGACATATAAAACATAAAATTTTCAATTGTGACATTCAATATATATATTACAAAATATAAAAGTCTTTAACAAATATTTTTGAATACATACACTGTATTTATTAAACTAATATTTTTAGTATAAACTTTTAAACTTTAAAAAAAATTAATTCAATATAAATCAAATCAGTTAACATGAATGAACACATTATCAATATCTTATGTATTTGGTGCAAAATTTGACTAATTTTTAGTTGCTATTCTTCACGTTTTTAAGATGCAGAATTTTCTTAATATTGATAATTGCAAAATATTCTTTTCATGCAATTATATCAAAGTAAAATTAGAATATGACTTAAAATAAATTCAATAAAATTCAAATTATAAGTTTTTTCAATTGGATTTTTCTTTTTTATGGCTAAATATAAACATTCTAACAATAATTCTTAGAAACTAATAAAAACAAATATGCCCAATTCTGTTTTTGGATTTTTTTACACAATTTTTATTTACGAGTCTGGAAAAAAAATTCAATTCTCTATATCAGCAGAGTATACTTTATGAATGAGTCTATAAATGCAGTGTTATAAAAACATCTTATCTGCCAAGCCAATTCCAACAATTAAGGAACAAGTTTATGACAAAATCCTACTTATTTCAAGATGACTGCATCATATCATTATGCCAAGATGATGAATTATAATGTGCTTTTTCTACAGTTATGTTAGCATTATTGTCACTTAAACTGACACAAATTGTTATTTAAGCAAAACAAATTCTTACAAGAGGCCCAGATTAGATGTGTAACATCTGGCCAGGTAACAGTCCTAATCTCAACACTATTGAGAACTACTAGCATATTATGAGCATGAAAATTGAAGAAAAGAAACTTGAAAATAAACAGCAATCACAGGAGTGTATTAGAAGAGTTTGATATAACAAGTTTGGCACAGAATACTTGAAGAAACTCATCCACTCTAAACCAAAGCATTACAAAACTGTTATTAAGGCTCAAGATAGCTTTACAAAGTATTAGAATCCTATTCAATGAAAAATAACTGTTCACATTACATTTTTTCAGCCTGCTTACATTGTGAACTTTTTTGCTTTCATTTGAATGACAAGTTCTTGCAACAGTAATTAACAGGATGATCCTGTAAAGTAGCATTAAGTTCAATATAGCATTACATGTAATAAATTGCATTTTTTATATATTCTTTTTCCTAGACTATATATGTTATCATTCCAAATCACGATCATAGCTTAAATATGCTAATTTGCATATCTGTTTAAAGCTTTTTGGTGTATATGATAGGCAGTATATATATCTGGATTTAAAAAATTAAAATATAGTGTTTAGATATTCATTTATGAAATTTCATAAAAAATAATTGCACACCTTTTAACCAGCAAACACATTTAATAAAATAACAAAACAAATTGAGATTGATGATAACTATTCACTATTTAAAAACTTGGATTTAATTATATTAATAAATAATGAAACAATATCAGTAATATCCAGCAATTTACTTAAAATAGTAGTCAAACATATATATGAAATGATCATATGAGGTCTGTTCAAAAAAAGACCAGACTTTTGTCATACAAACTTTTCTACTGTGATCACAATATTATACATGTTTGTTCCCTTCAAAGTACTCCCCCTGCTTGCAATATACCATTCTCATTATTATTGCCACTGTTAGAATGCTCCCCGAAACTCTTTTGTGAGATGGCATGTAGCTGTCTCTGCAAATTTTATTGAATCTCATCTACAGTTCGAAAATAAGGTCCTTTTAAACTGTGGAAACAAGAAAAAGTCTGAAGTAGCCAAGTCTATATGGAGTATGGAGGTGGGAAAGGATGGCCATGTTGTTAGCACTAAAAACTGACCAACAAGCAGAGATGTGTGACATAGCATGTTGTCATAAGGCAATGCCCAGCTCTTGTTCCCCATAGCTCAGGCCTCTTCTGGCACACAACTTCCCTCAAATGCCTTAAAACTTCTAAATAGTACTCCTTGTTAACAGTCTGACCTTGTTGCACAAATTCCTGATAAACTACGCCTCAATAATAAAAACAAATAATCAATATTTGTCATCCCTATTTTGAATACTACTCAATCAATATTCTGCCCAATTTAAAACACTTGAACCACTTGTGACACTGCAAATGGCTCTCCTCATAAGCCTGCTGAAGCAAAGCCCATGTTTCAGTAAAAGTTTGCTAGTCTTAAAGTAAAACTTCACCCAAACATGTTGCTCCTTAAAAGTCTTTCACCTTCACTTCACAGAGCAGTAACTGCATTTGTTCACTTCAATAGCTCTAGACCACCAACCAATCAGAATACTACAATGCTCCAAGTGGTGTTGTGTTACTGAAGTTTCTGGCTAAGTGGAAACACTTGCTAGAATTCAATCGATGCAATGATTCACACACTATGACAAAAATTAAGTCTTATTTTGAACAGACCTAGTAGACTATATGTTTGACTGCTATTTTAACCTGATGATGACAATTTAAAAATTGTCAAAAATGTTTGTTTTCGTTATTCTTTAGTAAATTGCTGGATATTACATGGTATTGTTTCATTATTTATAAATTGGGATTCAAATTTCATTATTTAAAGTATACATCACTGATATTTCTGCTCATATACTGTCAATAAAAAATTTGTCAAACAAATTTTTTTAATATATACTCATGTTTAGTCAACAAAAATTATTTAAATTTCATTCTAGTTCTTTATATATCATGTATTGTTTTCTTATTTATTAAAATTACAAATCAATAAATTATGTTTTTAAGATTTAATATTAAATAATTCTTAGAAATCAAGACTTAAAAACATGTAACGAATGTTCAAACTTCTATATTATATTATAATCAATATTAATAAAACAACAGTAATATATTCCAATTTATGTTCATCATAAAGTAAGATTCTTAAATAATAACTTTTTAACAAATTTAAAGATTTCATAAAAAGTTATATTAGTAAAATAAAACTTGCAACTTGGCACAAAATTAAAACAATATGTGTATGCACACACACATTACATACATATATTTATGCAAGTAAACTTGAAATACAAAATGGTAAACTGTTCAGCATAGAGATCATTATTTTATCACTGCATTATTCATTTCAGCATTTACAAATTCTAATACTATAATTTTTGAGCATGTAATGAATAAAACTGATTTAAGTTTCAGCACTCAATCAATAGTTAGTTTAAATATTTTAATTACATTATTATTAAAGTAACAGTTTTTATATATTTATTTATTTTATACGCCTGCAAAACAAAAGTATATTCAATAGTAAGAATTAAAATAAAAAGCAAATAATAGTCACCCAGATTTATAAAGATGGAGAACCACCCAGACTCCTTCTCCTGCTTTATTTACTTCCTGAACATAATCTTCTGCTGAAATTTCTCGAACATCTCCATATTTTGCTTTTCTAAGTGCTTCTTGCATCTCTGCTATTCTTTTTTTCCTGTAAATAGATATTTGTTAATAATAGAAAAAGTTACTTATTTATAAATATTGATCTATATTTAAATACAAATAATTTTTCCAAATTATTTGAAACAGATTAATTTGCAATTTTTTATACACAAATTACATTTATACTTCATAAAATTTTTTATTACAAGAAAAAATAAAACTTATGATCATATTACAATCAATCAAACGATCACCATAATTAATGTATAGAACTTTGAGAAGTTTATTATATGATCATATTATAATTTCTTAGTTCTACTTCACAATTTACTCAAAGAAAAAACTATTGAAAACAATAATTTATACTGCTTTTTCATGTAGCAAAACATCATTTTGTTACCTGAAAAAGCTGTGTAAATTCATATTTTTACTATATAGTGCCAAGAATTTTGCAATTTTAAAAAAAATTATTCTTTACATAAAATTTTAAAACTATTTTACAGCATATCATTTTAAAGCTAATCAAACAGTTTCCAAAATAATTCAAAACCATAATTAATAATTAATTTAAAATATTTTCCCTCAATATATACTTGCAAATTTAATAAACTACAGTTATCTACTATAATAAAAAATTATAACACTAACCTATATTCAAGCAATATTCTTTCATCTTCCTCATCTTCTAACTCATCTAATTCATCAAGAGTCAAGTCTTCTAATTGTGTAGTTTCTGTAAATAACAATAACAATACAGTAACATGTAACAATAATAAATATAAAGCATTTTAAAATATCAATATAAAAATTTGTGTCCATTGTTTTTGTTGGTAGAAAAAATTATTTTCATAAAAAAAAAATAATACAATAATAATATTTTATTTTTACATCAATTTGATGTACAGTACACTGACACAACAACAATCTTTGAAGCCCATTAACCTACTGCCCGAAGATATTTTTCAAGCAGTAGACTGCTCTATTTGAGCAATCAACTAAACTGGCTATGTCAATGCCTCCTACAACTTCCACTTTGCTGGCAAAGGATTGTATAGATTGCTGATGACTACAGTGAAGGACAGTAAAAATCTGAAACAAGTATGTTTTTCATACCAGTTGTAATTGCAGAGTTGCCAGTATTAAAATTGCAACCCATGAATGTACACGTATATACTTTACTTTGTTATTAATATATTTGGCTACTTTGTATGTGTATGCATACATACATACATACATACTGTATACAAAATAGCCAAAGATATTAACAATATACTTTTCAGAATAGTTTTACAGATCTTCAACACTTAAAATTGTTAATATCTCTGAAATTGTCTGAAGTGTTATCTACAACAACAAAACTTTAGATGATCACAGAAAATATTTAAGCCAAATGATCTCTGGATTATATCAGGCTATATTACTATTATTATTAATAATTAAATGCTAAATAATTTGGCATTAGAGGTAGGCATTAGGCACCATCTCTTGTTAAATTTGATAATTATAATCATTTGGCTTTAATATATAACTATTAGATTTTAGATATCAATATTTGATTACAGAAAATTCAGAAATAAAGGGAAATGAGAATTAAAAAAAAATTACACTCTACAGCAACATTTCCTAAATGGCATTCCATGAAACTTGGAAACCCCATGAAACAAAATTTCTGTTCAAAATAGGGTTCTGTTATCTTGCAAGTTCACACTTGGCAATGTAGACACACAAGCACATACAGCACATATATGAGAAAAATTGGATTTTCAAAATTAAAAGAACAAAAAATTCAGAAATCAACTAAATGCCATGTCTGTTCTTGAAACTTCCAAAAAGTAAGCTATATATTAAAAAAAAAATTGCAAAAAATAAATAAAACTTATTCTTCTCATTAAAAACTAAAGATTTCCTAAATTTGATTTATTTTGTCATTTAATGTTAAATACAAGGTGTTCAGAAAGTCACTGTGCACTTATTATTTATTAAGACATGTTTCAATATAGAACACAAGAGGTAAATATAAATGATAATTATAAACAAGGTTGAAAGTGACTCCCGTAGCATCAATACAGACTTGGATCCTTCTTTTGTTTCTAAACATTGCTATTAATTGCTCATTCGAAATAAACTGAATGAATGTGGTTATCGCTGCTATCAAGTCATCCAGCATGTGTGGACAATCTCGATACACTACAGATTTTGCATCCCCATAGATCAGTGTTTCTTAACAGGGGGCTTCAGCCCCCTGGGGGTCCATAAGAAGTTTGCCGGGGGGCCACCAAATTATGCAAAATTGAGGCTATGAAAATGAAATATGATATGAAATGTTTTCATTCTATTCACAATTAATCTCTGATTCAAAATTTTAATTTGAGAAACAAAATGTAAATTCCTTAATTATATGTCACCTTTTAAAATTAATTGATAAATTTGATAAATATTTTCCTAATGATAAAGTTCACATTACAAAACTGTGGATTCAAGATCCATACAACAATTATAAAAATACCAATTTATCATCAGCTGATGAAGATACATTATTAAAATTAATAAATAATTGTAATTTGAGATCTGTTTTATAAACTAAAAGTGTGTCCCAATTTTGGATACAAATTTGTGCAGAATATCTCCTGTTTTCAGCAGCAATGCAAAATTTGCTGCCTTTTGCTATTACATATTTGTGTGAAAGAGGTTCTTAACTATGATGGATATAAAAACAAAAAAACGCAATTAGATGTCTTCATGAGGATAGCATTACAAACAATTGAACCAAGAATTAACAAATTAGTTGAGGATATTCAGCAGCAGAATCCTCATTAAATTATTTTTGAATATTTTTTGTGTTTTCTATGAATTTTTAAATGTTTCTTATTTTATTTTTTGTTAAAATTAATGAGTTTTTATGTTTAATTGTGAAGTTCGAATGTTATTTAAATAGATAATGAAATAATAAAGTTATGGTTTACATTTATTATATAAAAAAATAAAGCAATAATAAAAAATCAATTTATTATAGATAATTTAACAAATATAAATTATTATTAAAAAAATGGGGGGGTCACAAAAAACTATGAAATATTTGGTGGGCTGCAAGTATAAAAAGGTTAAGAACCACTGCCATAGATAAAAGCCTGGTGGATTTAGATCTGGTGAGCATGGGACCACACATCTTTTGAAATAATGCAAAAACATGATTACAAAAGTGCACAGTGACTTTCCAAACACCTTGTATATTATTTTGAATTATTTTGATTTTTATTTCACATATATTCTTGAGATTTTTATTGATATGCACAACAAAACAAAAACATATTTTAGCATTTTTAAAATTATTAATCTTTCAACTTTACTTTAAGACTAAGTTCATAAGTAAGAATTCTATTGGGTATTCCTCTGTTTCCTTACTGAATTTGAAAGAGATTCTATGAACAAACTAAATTAGAAAACCTTATTCTACAGAATACTTTTTGTTTTAATAATTGTTTTTGTTCTGTAAAAGCTTAAAATCTTGTTACACAAGCCACCTATTTCTTTGAATAAACTTAAATAGTTAATAATTGTGCTTGTTTTGAAACTGTGTTGTTCTACGTTTTTGTTACTTAAGCACGATAAAATGCAGTTAAACAAACACTAGGTATCCTTTCATCCGTTTATGTCTTCCTTTTACAACAAACCTACTGAATTATCTAAATCAAAGTGTATTGTCGTAGTTTTAAGGAATTATTTTAACAATTCACAAACTTTTAAGCGTCTTCAATGTGTACAACAGGTATGTTGTTTGAGGTTTTATACACTCAAGCTATTTTATAACTTATTGTAATTCTTCCAAAAATGGCAGAATGGAAAGAAGTATGAAGGACCTGTACTCATGTATACATCTATGTTAAGATGCTATGTTAACTTATCTGTTAAAAAGTCAATTAAAGTTATCTCAGAAAGGCAAACAACAAAAGAGAAATTAAATTTGGCTGACATAAAATACAAATAGCAGGTATATTTGTAAATTATATGTATTATTTAAATGGTTTGACGTTATATAGTAACTATGTACATTTTTAAAAAATTAGTTGACTGAAGAGAGTCATTGCAAGGCCCAAAACGTGTAAAAACGTGTATCAACTAAAAACAGCAAATAAACGGATGAAAGGATGCCTAGTGTTCATTTAACTGCACTTTATTATGCTTAAGTAACAAAAATTAATAATTGTTTTACTGTTTATAAGAGAATTTGTGCAACAATTGAATAAAGCATTCAATTATACTTCTGAATTATTTAATACCTTGAAGTTTTTCTTCAACTGTATTTTCAATAATATTTATAATATCTTCTTCTTTAATTTCTTTTTCTTGTTTCTTTGGAAGAATACCTTTTTCTCGTAAAATATCATTCCACTGTGTATCTGCATTTGGATCCTGAAATAAAATTATTATTAAATTAGACTGACCATTTTATGTAATAAAACTAAAATTCAAATTGATTACTAAAAATGACCACTTTGAATATAAAGTATATCCAAATTTACAAATAGTAATCTGAAGATGAAGATCAGATGAAAATCTGACTATAGGATAGCTGACAATATGCCTATATACAGAAGAGTATATAGGAATTGTAAATTTGAATTCTGTTCCAGATTAGTAACTTTTGAAGAAAGAATCAATTAATTTCTAATTATTAAGATTAATGTTAGCTAATTAATCTTGAGAAACAGCAGCTAAATATTTAGCTATATAGAACAACACTAATGAAGTCTGGAAAATAATCTAGCAGTTTTAAGCTTACACACAACAGAATCAAAAATAATATTTTATTTTTTTATAACTTTATTTTAATAGATGGTGGTCAATGTAAAACTGACACACTCACCAATTGAGTAAATTATTATAATCTTCATATCGTAAAAAGGAACTAGTAAGACAAAATAAAATTAGACAAAAGCTCTTTGAAGACTTAGTTTTATTTTCAAAACATTATGAAAACTTGTATAACCAATACTTCATCATTCAAGAAAGTCCAGTTTTATTTAATTGATGAGTGGAACTGGATTCAGATAAAACACTTCCAAAGTAAGTAAAGTGTTTCTGCAGCTGCACATTTCTGCCGGTATCCAAACCTTTGTCAAAGCAATCCTAGAACTCATTTTTTACAATGTCTTTAAAGGCTTTTGTTGCTACAGCTTCCAGATTTGCAGTTCCATCAGTTAGTCCTGATTAATATCTATCTGGCTAAGAACAAAATAATATTTCTTTAGTCCTTAATTTTGCCCTTCAAAAATCTTATCTGTTTCTAAAATAAAAGAGAAGTTGAAAGATTGCAAGTTTCAATCAATAGAAGAAGTGAAAACCACAGCAATGAGAGCCCATAAATAATCACAAAGAAAACTTCCAGAACTGCTTTGACAAACAGTACAGATGCAGGCAGAAATGTGTAGCTACAGTTAGGAGCTTATTTTGAAGGTGGTATGGTGTACAAGTTTCTATATGTTGTGAAATAAAACTTGTACCAAAAATTCTGTTTATTTTGAATATTATACATTCCTTACCATTTTATTTATAAATAAATCAAATTATAATATTCATGTATTTTAAAAATAAGTTTAATAATAAAAGGATTTGTTTTTAAATACCCATTTAAATAAATATATATTTATGAAAGTATTATTTAAATTACTGAATATAAAATAATATCAAAAATAAAAATCTGGGTGTATTCAAAGAAACAAATTTTTAATTACTAAATATTTTGATTGAAAAAATATCCTGTTATTGAAGAAATTTATATTCTTTGGCATCAGTTTTATCCAAATCAAAATGATCATCATATAACATATTAGTTAAAATATCAGATATTATATAGAAATTACTATCTACATTACTAACTCTTAAGATTTAAAATTAATTAAAGAAGCCTGTATTCTTAACTTTTATAATATAATTGATAATTGTTTTAGTTATTAAAAAAATTTCATTATATGAAGAAAACATATTTGTTTAAAAGTTCTTATCTAATACCAAAACAGAATTTTGTTTGCATTTAATAATTCAGTTATCCAGGGATACAGATTCCTAAGCTAAATTAAAAATAGTAGATATTAGTTTAACTTCTCATTAGCAAAAGTTGGATATGAATTATAGCCAGCATTATTATATATTAATAAATTTAATTGTAAATCATATGTGTTTTACTTTGAGTGATTTATACAGTACAGCCTACACTTTGTGGATTAATAACTACTAAACTAAATATTAAAAAAGTAAAATCACTAAAACTTTTTGAAGAAAAATAAGTGATATTTTGAAATTTGCTGAATCATTAACATATCATATGTAATGATATTGAATAAGAAGCTATTTACTTAAATTTATTTCTTAACCAAAAAATTGCTGTAATTAATCTGGCTATAAATTTGCTATTATTAATGATTATATATTAAGTAATTTGGTATTACAGATAGACATTAGGCATCATAATTTATTTCTTATATTTAAAAAGCTATTTTTTTCAAAAAATTTTAGAAACAAACATTGTTCTGCTGAAATTTAGAGTAATGACATTTTACTCCATGTTTATTGATATGAATCCTAGTAATCCTTATCTGTGGATTTCTAGGATTCATATCAATAAACATGGAATTTAAAACTAATGCTATATATGAAATGGTAAAAGTTTATCCTTACTGGGGCCTTTTTTTGTAATTTTGCTCTCTTAGGACATCTCTCTAGTAGTTATGTCCTAAACACAGAAATTTTGGGGGCAACGGGTATAATAAGAGCTATAAGCGAAAACTCATCGGATTATATATTCATGATATTATCCTACATTGAGTTTAAAATGAATTATTACTACGTTAAATAATTGTTAATTGAGTAAGAGTTAACTAATCCAAGCACAAGCACATTAATATCTTCACATTTGAAATAGATGGCGCAATAATTACATAGAATAATAATTATCTTAGTACTACAATACGAATTGAATGATATTATTTCAAATTTACATTTTTTTCTTTAAATAATTTTATTTAAAAACGTACTTCCATTATTCTTGCTGTAAAGAGTTAACTTCCTGGTCCGTCGTCACTGACGAAAAGGCACGTGCTTCGACCTCTACTAAACTCCATAAATAGCAATGTATCTTATTGCTGGTATTTTTTCGCAAATGTGCGAATATATTCGTTGGAAATAATATACAGCATACACAAAAAACTTTTTTCCTCTGTTAATTTAATATTATATAAAATAATATGTAATGTGCCACACGATTTTGTCAAATTAAACTTAAATTCCTCCCCTCTGGGTTTATCTAATTAAGAAACATAGGTATAATGTATTAAGATTTTTATGACATCAATCGAAACTACAGTTATATAAACTTTGTGTATGCAGTTTCGATTGGCGTAAAAAAATCTTAATATATTCGTTTCATTTGAAATTGCTACTGTCAAATTTAATTTTTTATTTTAGTGAATTCAATTTTTATTGTGACCTTATATTTGAATTTTTCAGATAATCCGCGTTTTTACGGGATCCAAATTTGAGTCAGGTCAGGAACTTCAGGAATTTTTCAGAGATGATCTATCTGTATGTATTGGTCCCATCCCTCACCGTCCAGCTGCTTCTTTATGGGCTTAACCGAATTCGTGATGGTCCCGGATAGTGAAGGACGGGGGCCGACATATCCGGTCGGATCACGCCCCGAAAAATTCACGGGGATTTTTCGAGCCGTCCGAATTCAATCCCGGATACCCTAGAGCGGTAGGCAGTAGCGTACCGTAGTGGGGGCGGCAGGGGCGGCTCTTTTTAGGGCGCGGCAAAATTACCTTTTAGGGGGCAGCAAAATTTCACAATAAATAATAATAATATCTTGTAAAAATTTGAAACATCCTAATCTATACTTGCATCGCGCCTACGATAGTACTATCGTCCGGACAGTCCGGGAATCGGCTCACCGTCCGGATGAAATAGTAATTTTTTCATCCGAGGAAGTCCTGCGAAACCTGTTGACCTTTTTTTTTTTTTGTATTTGCTTGTACGATTCATTCGCGTTCATATACACCACTAATATTCAATGGAACTATTTTAAACAAGTCGCTGCACTACCACCGAATTTTTCATTGCTTGTTCTGTGACAAAACTGAATTTTCTTTTAAATTGAAATACCTAAATAAGGGGGGCCGAAATTTTCCTCCGCCCCGGGCTGCTGACACCCACGGTACGCCACTGGCGGTAGGCTGATACCTTGAGCTCTCGGTCATCCGGCCGTCGAAATACCATGAATCAAAATGGTTTCTCTTTGTTAAAATATATCTCGATGTTAATAAATTTAAATTGAGAAATGAGTCACTTCAAATAGTTATTTTAGAATTACTAAAGAGAAAGAACGGAGATTTGACTCAATGTATAATGCAAGACTCAGTTATTGTGATTACAATCTAAAGTGTAATTTCGTTAAACGCATTGTTTTTACAGGATGTACCAAAAATTTCCCTAATCAAGTTTTGAAAATTATATTCCTGACACAGGTCCGGATTAACCCACTTTGGGGCCCTAGACATTTTCTTCTTCCGGGTCCCCTCCCGGCTCTTTCAATTAATAAATCTTGTTACTATTATTTCTATTAAATTTCATACGGACACTGCAGCTGCTTTATAAAATATAAAAGCAAAATTATTTCACAATATTTCACAGGATTTAAGAATACATATAATTAATATTATTCTTATCGCTATAAAGAATATTCTAAATTATTGGGAATTTTACTTTCAATAAGAAGAAACATAAGAATACGAGGGTTGTTCAAAAAGTTCCCGAACTTTATTTATTACAAAAAAAAAATACTTCACATACAATTTATTTGTCAGGGTCCTCTTCAACGTAGTCTCCTCCGCAACATATACACTTATTTCAATAGTGTTTCCACTTTTTGAAACATCTTGGAACGCTTTTTCCGGAATGTCCATAAGCTCCTCCGTCGTTTTTTTTTTTCTATCTCTTGAATGGTGGCAAATCTTTTTTCTTTGAACATGTTTTTTTAGTTTGTTGGAAAACAGGAAAAAGTCGCATGGGGCCAAGTCAGGTGAGCAGGGTGGGTGGGGAAGCACAACGGTCTTGTTTTTGTCCAAAAACTTGTGTTATGAGGGACAAATGAGCCGCCGCGTTGTGGTGAAAAAACCACTCGCCGCTCCTCCAACGTTCGGACCCTTTTCGCCTGATTTTGTCTCTTAGGCGTTTCGTAACACCAGGTAGTACTCCGTGTTGACTGTCTGACCTGTAGGTAGGTATTCATGATGCACAACCCCTTTTACATCGAAAAAACGGTCAACATCACCTTTAATATTTGAGCGAACTTGTCGAGCTGTTTTGGGGCGGGGGGCTGTTTCACCCATCCGTGGAAAGTTTTCGTGAAGGATTTTCCGAGTTTCACACAGAATTTCACAGAACAATGCTGTTCTTTAAATGAGTTGATTTTCGCCGAACCCCACAAACACCACTTCACATAAACGGCCGTAGCTAATCACCAAAACAAGATATCAACAAACGGGTCAAAGTAGGTTACTCGAGGGGTTTCCGCGGACACAACGCCTCCAAGCGGATTTAAAAATAATAAACTGGAGGCGCGCTATTCAAAAGGTTCGGGAACTTTTTGAACAACCCACGTACAACCCACGTACTGTACATTTTCTTTAGATTTTAGAATTCACAATAACCATATAAAAAGCAATATATTTTTGCTTATTTGTTTATTATATACTGTTGTCCAACAGAAAAGTAAACTATCTTATTTACAAATCTTTTCAAAATAGACAGTTTGACCGGGCCCTTCTAAAAACCGGGCCCTAGACATTTGTCTTATTTGTCTATGCGATGATCCGGCCCTGTCCTGACATGTTAAAAAGTGATAAAAGAGCGTTAATGTTTTAGATTTTGTTGATCTTGAAAGTGTTTTGAATAAATCTATATGGGTGGGACAACCGTGTATCATCAACTGGAAAGCGAGAAATGTGGCCATGTCGAGAATAGCGTTAAATCCGAAACAAAAAATTGCGCTTTTGTAAGGTGCCTTTCGACACAAAATCTTACTTAACGATATGTGAAGATTTCGGAAAAAATTCCAATGATGTAACACAAGTAAGCCAAGTAAACTTATTTTGCACGAACTTGTTCAAAGCTTTCGTGAAACTTGGATAGGTTTTTGATCGCCGCATCATTTCTAAAAACTTGTAGTAGCCACCTCAATTCTCGGACTTAACTTCACCGTATACATATATACGTATATTATAGGAATATCTAAAAATTAGCGATTACATTAATAATTTTCTCAATTTGGATTAGCTGAAATACTGTACAGTATAACATTTCATCAGCAAGCATAGTGAAAATCACACCAACAATGTTACGACGCATGGATAGAAATATGCTGTCGCGGGATCTCTGCCTCTCTAAAATTTTTGAGCACAGCTGATAGTTAGTACACGTGTTTTGTTCATTTACACTTTATATCAGATCATGTTTTTATTAATAAAAAAAAATTGAAAGATTTTAAAATTATTTTTGTCCTGCGGGCACTAATTGTCCTTTTAGCAAACCCATTATGGATTCGGCCAATCCTAAGCCGGGTGGTGAAAGACGGAGGAGATATATCCGGACAGACCACCCCCAAAAAATTCCTGGGAGTTTTTTAACTCGTCCGCATTCGATCCCGTGACTTCCGGAGCGATAGATTGCACCTTGACATCCGGATAGGTCTGTGATTTGGTGATAAAATGCACAATGTGTAAACGCTCGCCAGCACCAGCGAACTAAACCACAGAACACTGGTCGTGAGTTTGCGCTTTGCCAACGGACTCGTCACGTGGAATATTCCAGGTTTTCTTCACGTTTGTAACACCTAAATAGAGACCAGTTTCCCATAAAATGTCCTCCTGGGATGCAACGCCTCGAGTTGCGTTGCCGTATACAAACAATGTATAAAAATACATTGTTTATATAAAGAATAGAATTTTTAAAATTACTTAAATGGATGTATAAACATAATATATAATTCTTCGACATTTAATAGATCGCTTATTATTAATATTATCATCAGTGGCGGCCCGAGGCAAGTTTTAGGATGGAGCAAGATCCTATTATAGCGCCCCCTTGGTTGCCCCTAATTTATACCCTTTAATTTTCTTTACCACTGAGGCACCCCCTAGAACTTAGCGCCTGGAGCGGCTGCTCCGTTCGCCCTATGGTAGGGCCGGCTCTGATTATCATTATTTACATCGATATGATTACCTGTAACCGTGCCAAAATCCAAAGTTTTCAAGAATAATAAAATTTTGATTAAAATTATTTTAATATATTAATAAATTTTTAATAATATGTTTTGTTAATTAGTAATCATTTAAATATTTTTAAAATTTTAATTTAAAATGTTATAATTTCTTGTCATCTGGCAATCATAAACATTAAGAAGGAAGTCACCTCTTATTTAGCGGTAAATTTAAAAATGTGTTAACGAAGATTAAAAAAAACTATATATTTGAGATTATTTAGATTGTATATTGGGTAAGATAGGTTATATTTTATTAGAAATGATAAATAATTTTAAACTTTCATTCAGATTTATTAAAATAATACTGATTTCAATAGATCCAATCAGTTTTAGGCGTATCTGTATGTACTGTACAGTATACATATGGAGTAATTTGCGAAGTTGGATAATGTCGAAATTGTCTGGGTAATGCCAACTTTATCAAAAACCACGGGTAATGCTGAAAGAAAATCGTTTCAATAGCAATAATGTCGCCATTATCCATCAATACTTGAATGAGGTCACATTCAGGGGTTCTTTGCACTATCCAGTTTCATTCTTGATTGCAAAAATAAGTAGAGGTACAATAACTTAATGTAGACTTTTTTAAATTCAATGTTAAGTTTTCAATATAAAATAAAATAATTGTAAATAATAATTTGATTTGATTATTTTAAAATGATGGTAATAATTAATGATGATAATTTTATTGATTTCTTTTACTTAAACTTAGAAAGAGAAACAATTACTTTATGTTTAATTTTGCAATTGGTATTCAACATTTTACAAAACTTGATGTGTAATGTTGAGGTTATCTGAGAAAATTGATAATTAAATGATTTCCTCCATATTTTGGTGTTATCCACCTGACTTGGCTAAGGCTGACATCACCTGGGTAGTCTCAATGGTATCCAGATTTTGTACGTTACTCATAATGTATATAAATGACCTAAAAGGAACCTCTATCCAATGTTAATTAAATTTTGGAATATTTCAACAGTATTTTACCTTTCTATTTTTTTCATAATTTATAAATAAAACATAACAAATTTTGACAAAATTAAATTTACTTGCCATTAATACTGGAGTTTAAGATCAACTCGAGATTTTCAGCTCAAAACAGTGCTAGAATGATATACAAAATTAAAATATTTAATGAGTACTTTATTTGTTTCATTCAAGCTTCATTTTTTAAATGTTCTAATGAGAACATTTAAAAAAGAACAGGATTTGATTAAGTAGAACATATTTGAATTTGGTATAATCTGCTTTGTTGAGGGGTATGCTATACATGCCAGATCTTTCTATTACTGCCCAAATAGCCTTATTGTTAGAAAGGAGTTTTCATAGTAATGGGAATGGAGAAACAGGCAATCTTAATTGATGAGAATGTAACACTGTAGCTAAATGATACATGAAAGATCTCATAGTTGCAGCGATCCAGATGGAAACTTTACTTCAGAATGCAAAGGTAAGAGGCTTAGCTTGTGAGTTGAGTGAAACAAGCAAAAGTACTTATTTAAATATTTTAATTTTGTGTATTGTCAGTTATGTGAAATTTATGAAACTTGACTCACTGTTCTAGACTACCACATTTCAGAATGTGGTAGTCTAGAACTGAGATGTGGTTATATTAGCCTATGTGTAGTTGATGTGATGTGATGTAATGTTCATTTATACTGAAATTTTACTATTATATTAATATCTGTTAAATAATTTAATCAAATACAATATATGTGGTAGCCAGCTGGAGTTATGATAAGATGTAAGAAGTATGCTGCAATTGTTATAAGCTCTGTTCCACTCTGTGGTAAAGGTTTGCCTTTTGTACTTTGCCATAGAAGTTGACCCTTAATTTCAGAGAGATTTTTTTTCACACTTAGAAATTTGACTTAAGCAACTTCACTCATAGTTATGCACATAGATTAAATAAACAGTTATATTAAGTTCATAAATGAAGTTTTTAGAAAAATAAAATATTTTCTGTTTATTATTGTACTGGATTATTTAGAACTGCATACATGAAGTATAGAAATTATACAGGTATCTAATTTTCTGCAAATTTCATTGCATAACATAAAATTTCAAAACAGCAAGATTAACGGATTTACTAGAACTGAAGTCATGTAATATTAACAATATATCCTGCATCTTTAATTATAAGCCATAGCTGTGATTAAATGTAAATAAAAAAAATCTAAAAATCACACAACATACAGGGATCACCAACATCATCACTGTAATTTAGACAAGGGAATGTGCATTACATGCAATGCCATCTATGGCACTATTAATTTAACACAAACAACAAAATTATATGTGAAATTATTACATTTCACATATTTTTATTTTTATTGTTTTTTCCTTTCAGTTAAAGACCAACCATTTTAAATGAAATATTATTTATTACAGCATCTTTACATTAAATATTTTATAAGATGAAAACAAAACTTTTTAAAAATGACAATTGCTTTGTTGTTAATACTGGGTAATAATATTTAAAATACTCCTATTCATTGCTGTCTAGAAAGATACTTAGAGGTTTAAGTATCTTTATCATATGGTATGGTGACATTTCAGGGTGTGCAGAAGACATTTTCATCAAAAATAGTTAGCACCAAAACTCACTACTATGCACTTTGGTGTGGCAAACAACAAACATTTTATATATACAAAAAAATACTATGGATTTTAGGATGATATTCCATGTGTTCCCGATTCTGAAGGTGTTGGTCCCTAACTGAAGGCAATAAACAGTATGTTCAACAACTGACTATAATGAATTCTCTGTGATTGTGATGCTTCTCACATGCAACATGATAGATTACTTTTCTTTATGCTGCTGAATTTGCAGTATGTCTTTGATAAACCACTTTTTAAGTGTTCCCACAAATGGAACTACTTTTTCATTTGTTTATAGCATGAAAAGTGCCACAAAGGAAAGTTTTGATACTATTTTTTTTTTACAAAAATGTCTTTTTTCACATCCTGAAATGTCACCATACCAGATTTGGTTGCATTTGGGCTGCTAAGTATCTCTAGAGAGAGTATTGAATAGTATACTTTAATTACGGTCATCCAGTACTATGTTAAATTAGATTAAAAATTTTAAATATTAGATTATTACTTTATTTCATTACATATAAGATTAATTAAATTAGTATAAAAAATTTCAAAGTAATTTGTGAATTATTTATTTTCAGAAAAGTTTGCATTAACGTTTTGATGAAATTCTACAAGAAAGCAAAGTATGACATTCCTTCATATTTGCTTATTATATATTATATGGTTAACAGAAAATAATTTTTATTCATATGGAAAAGAAATACTTTTGAATGATGAAATATTCACATTAAACATAAGCCAAATAATAGAAAATTTGAATTCTTCAATTGCTCTTTTTACTTCAAGAAATAAAAACTTATCAAAATATAATGAAGAAATTTCACTTCAACCAACTTCTACAAAAACTAAGATAATTGAAGTTTTCACAAAAATAGTGTTTTCAAACTTTGATGATAAACAGTATAATTCTGTGTACACTAGTGATAAACATTCTAGATCTTATTCTAGTATAAAATTAAGATCTAGTATAGTTGAAAATATTGACATGGCTGATGAAGAATTACATATGTCAGCTAAGAATTCTGTTAAAACATTAAATTTACATAATAATAATAATAATAATAATAATAATAGCAATGTTGCTATGACAACTAATTCTAGATCTTATTCTAGTATAAAATTAAGATCTAGTATAGTTGAAAATATTGACATGGCTGATGAAGAATTACATATGTCAGCTAAGAATTCTGTTAAAACATTAAATTTACATAATAATAATAATAATAATAATAATAGCAATGTTGCTATGACAACTAATTTATATTACAATTCAATAGGTTCTGTTGAAAGTCATATAGCTCGTACATCTTTACAATTCCATAATGGTTCCGATGGCTTGCATGAAAGTGAATTAGATAATTTGTTTATAAATGTCTTTCTAAACCATTCATATATGGATCATAAATTTATTTCTGATATTAAAACCACAAGTACACTTTCCACTGATATAGTTAATTTAAAAACTGATTATTTTTCAGTAAGTGCTGACCATTTAGAAAACCAAATAACATATTCTGAAGTATATTTAATTCCATCATTCATGCCATCAAAAGAAGAAACTTTGACTACATTACATAGATCTACAAATTCAACACAAATAGAATATTCTGTGATATCTTCTGTTTTGCCTTCTAAATATCCCATTAAAGAAAATCCTAGAATATGGATAAAAAGTAACAAAACTGAAAATAATACAATTGATATTTGTAATATTTATGTAAAACCATTTTCTTATGAATTCAGCATAATTTTTAATTGTACTGAAGAATGTGAATTACAATTTCTTAAGTATTTGCGACAATATTTTGATGATAAAAACTGCGAAATACATAAAACTGCCTTTATTAAAGGATTTCCTGCAATATTTAGTTGGACAAATATTTCTGTGAATAATAATAATAGATGTAATTTGACTGAAATAGATTTAGAGTGGTTTAAAATGGTTGAAAGAAATGAAAGTTTAAAAACAGAATTTGTAGAAAAGTTTTTACCCAATATACAGATAATAAAAGCACACAAGAGATATATTGGTGTGTGCTTAGAAGTCAAAAATTCAAATTTGTTACATATGATAATTATTACAGTTTTTACTGTATTGATGTTATTATTTGTTATTATTGGTTTGATATTTAAAAAGAAAGTTTTAATTTTTAAAATCAGATTCAAGGACAGGTTTAATAATTTAGATATGTTGGGTTGTCGACCTCCAATCATTTTACCTATGGAAAAACAGTAATTTGTTTCCAATTTTTTTTTTTTTTAAAGTTGTATGTTTTTTAATGATTTGGAAATGTAAATAATTGTAAATTACATAAAACAAATCAATATCAGAATATTTGTTTAAAAACAAATGTTTTTAATTAAATTTTTGTAATGAAAAGAAAGTTAAAATTAATTAAAAACATTTGTTTTCTTCAAAATTTGCTGCTGTAACATGAAGATACACTGTCACTGATTTACACATGTAAAGTTGATTTGTTTGAGATGTAATACATTTTAAGTATTTTATGGTTTACTATTGAAGTAACCAAAGCATGTATATTAACTTATAAATTCTTTATTTGATGATATAAATACATATTAGGCAGCAATTTGAAAAAATTGTAGACCTATAAATTTCCATTGTTGTTTGTCCGTCTGCCTTTCCTTAATCTCAAGAACAGAGTTAGATAGATGAAAGAAGAGACCAGATATGGAAACCTTAGGGCAGGATGCCCTGATTAATTATATAAGAACTTCCAATGCAAACCAGAAGTCATGTTATTTCAATTCAAAAAGTTTCTCCTGAAAGGTGTTAGATTAACAACACAGAGTCATGCTGGTTATCTAAGGAAAAGTATGATGAACATGGGAAATCCACTACTAATTTGAGGTGGAGAGCACATATTTTAAATGAAATACATTAAAAATATGATTAAAAATTGCAGCCTGGCATTGTGACGACGTCACAATAAATAATTGTTTGTTATATTTGTAATAATATTAATAAAAAAATCAAATATTGTATTTAAGAATTTTTAAATGAATTGTTATACAATTGAAACTATTTGAATATAAGATGCACTATTTGCATAGAATTTGTTGTTTTATTCTATAAATGAATTTAACATTATATTTTCATTTGTTGTGCCAATATTTACATTTAAATACAAATAAAAAATTTTGTAGCATTTCTTTGATGACATATAGCTGTAAATCTAATAATAACCAGTTTGACTTGCTAGCAGGAAAGTTGCACTGTGCAATATGAGTTGCTTCTGTGCATATTTTAATTTGGCATTATAAATTGAATAAAGTGATCTAGGGAAAAGATTTTAAGATGGTAATTTTTTTCTGATTTGTCAGTAAGATTGTTGACCTTTCTAACTTTTATACAGCTATACTGTTAATATTTTAGTATTAAAATATTACCAAGAAAGTATACACAATAGATTTATGGATGCCTTTTCTAATGCAGTGCCTCAATAGGACTAAAAACAAAGGCTCTTATACAAAACTAGCCATCATTTGTGTTCACAAAAGAATCTGTAGATGCAAGTGAAAGTAGCACCATTTGTGACAAATTAGAATTTTTTAAAAATATGTTTCAAGTTGGTCTCTTGTTTTTTTTTTTCCTTTTGCTTTTGTATATTAATCAGATTATAGACTTATTTTCCATATGCTCCAATTAATGAGTTTTCAAATTTCTCTATGATCTGATTTTCATCATCTATTGCAGCAGTTCCCAACCTTTTTTGATCTGCAAGGGGATACCTCTTGGCAGCCCATTTTCCTAAGTTTTATGTTATGTGTTCTTCAAACAACAGCACCTTGGTCAATTATACAGCACTATACAATTACATGTAAAAAAAAGTTTTTTGTAAATTGAAAAGCATTGGAAGAACACAAATAAATATAATTATATTTTCATTTAATTAAAACTAAGTATAGAGTGGCATGACATTGCCAAAAGCCTCAATGCAGAATCTGAATGTTCTTGTAGTACATCCACCATTATGAATTATTTTTGTGTGAGATCAGCGAGTTATATAGAGACGCACACTCCAGATTAGATAAAATAAAACACAATTATTTATTAACTCGCTAGTTCAATTACAGGTTTCATAGGATACCAACAATCCGAATTGTCCATTTTTCCGAGCCGAACATCCGATTAATTAAAATTATCTTACTTAACACTAGGTTCCTATTACTACTTAAACTTATTGAATATAGCTGGCTTATTCGAAGATTTAGAAAGTGAAAGTAAAGAATAAGGAAAGAGGGTACCCAAAACTTGATAATGCAGGCTGAATTGTGTGGGCTCATGGATGAGGCTTCTCGTCAGTCTGGGGACTGATTAACTCACTTTTTGTTTCACACTGAGATATTAATCCAAAAGGGGCGATCCATCTGGTTCCTCTCAATTAAGTTCCTTTCTCTTTTCTTGTTCCAAAGTTCTCTTTTTCTTTTCTCACCATACGATGCTAAACTTACAGAGGAGACTTTCCTTTTTGATCTCCTCCTTCCCCTTCCTTCCTCTCAGTCTCACATCCTTTCCACTCCACTATCACTTCCAGTCTCCCTTCGTTTCTCCTCTCCCCTCACTCCCTTCATTCTCCCCCTTCTTAACTCCCCCTCTCGCCTTAGTCCACTCATATCCTCTCTCAAAAGCCTTCCATTCATTCCTTTCCTCTCAGTCCACCCACACACTAAAGTCAATAGGAAGACGATAACATTATAGAAGAGTAAACAAATAAGACAGACGAAGGTGAAGTGAAGATATATATATACAAATCATATGGTTTAAAATATGGCGTGTAGCCACATTTGCATACCTCTGGTTGGGAATTGCTGATCTATTGCAGACAAAATCAATCTGAATTTCAATGATATCTAAGTCTAATAGTTTATGAAAAATTTTATAATTGATGTATTTATTGTTGGCCTATATTGATAAAATTCTGTAAATTTAAATTCTTTAATATCCTTTTAGAACATTTGGAAATGTTTTTAAATTTGTATTATAGAGTTTTTGGCTTTACTTTAAAAAAATCATATACAGTAAAGTTTAATATTTTCTTAATTATAAAGAAGTTTGCAATATTAAGAATGTAACACAAAAATTAAAACAAAAAATAGAAGAAAACCCAATCATTTTTTGACTGTTGAAGTGCTTTATCCAAAATAAAATACTTTTAATAAAAAGTTGACTGCAGTTATCTAGAACAGTGCAATTATATTTATTTTACATAAAAATTGATAAAATTATAAATTGTTTATTGATGTTAATACAAATGTGTATTTCTGAAAATACTGCTATTATCAATAATTGTAATTAGTAGTTTTAGATCAAAAATTTTCTGAAAATTCTGTTCTTGAAGTTTTTATTTAATCTGAGGTCTTAATGAATTTTTGATTCATTAAGACTTCAAATGAATCATTTATGATTTCAAGTATACTTGTGTATTAAGACAAGAACATGTATTTGATAATAATAGTTAATTAACTTGTTCATAAGGTTTTAAGACTTTGGAAAAAATTTGAGAACAAAATTTCCTTTATAATTTGCCACTCTATTGCTTATCTCTTGGGCATTTGACTTTTGTATGTATAATTTGTGAATTGATTTATATAGTAGATTTAAATATGTGAATTTTCAAAAAAAATAAAATTATTGTTTTTAAAACATTAAATGGATAATAAAGCATTTAATATATTAGAATTTATTACATGGTAGTATTGTAAAAAGTACAGTATTTAACAAATATGTTTAAGATGGTAATTTTTTTCTGATTTGTCAGTAAGATTGTTGACCTTTCTAACTTTTATACAGCTATACTGTTAATATTTTAGTATTAAAATATTANAAAATTTTATAATTGATGTATTTATTGTTGGCCTATATTGATAAAATTCTGTAAATTTAAATTCTTTAATATCCTTTTAGAACATTTGGAAATGTTTTTAAATTTGTATTATAGAGTTTTTGGCTTTACTTTAAAAAAATCATATACAGTAAAGTTTAATATTTTCTTAATTATAAAGAAGTTTGCAATATTAAGAATGTAACACAAAAATTAAAACAAAAAATAGAAGAAAACCCAATCATTTTTTGACTGTTGAAGTGCTTTATCCAAAATAAAATACTTTTAATAAAAAGTTGACTGCAGTTATCTAGAACAGTGCAATTATATTTATTTTACATAAAAATTGATAAAATTATAAATTGTTTATTGATGTTAATACAAATGTGTATTTCTGAAAATACTGCTATTATCAATAATTGTAATTAGTAGTTTTAGATCAAAAATTTTCTGAAAATTCTGTTCTTGAAGTTTTTATTTAATCTGAGGTCTTAATGAATTTTTGATTCATTAAGACTTCAAATGAATCATTTATGATTTCAAGTATACTTGTGTATTAAGACAAGAACATGTATTTGATAATAATAGTTAATTAACTTGTTCATAAGGTTTTAAGACTTTGGAAAAAATTTGAGAACAAAATTTCCTTTATAATTTGCCACTCTATTGCTTATCTCTTGGGCATTTGACTTTTGTATGTATAATTTGTGAATTGATTTATATAGTAGATTTAAATATGTGAATTTTCAAAAAAAATAAAATTATTGTTTTTAAAACATTAAATGGATAATAAAGCATTTAATATATTAGAATTTATTACATGGTAGTATTGTAAAAAGTACAGTATTTAACAAATATGTTACTTTATATTTTCTCAGCTTTTAAAGTTTAAATATAAATATAATACTGTTTAATAAAAGTAACAGTTATAATAAAATTATATATTGTTTATGCATTATAGTTTTTCATTAAGAATTTATATTTTTGATATCTGCATTAAAAAATAAAAATGACAGTCTTTATTGATAAATGATTGTGTCAAACTGTATAATGTTTAATATTCATTTTAATATGTCAACATTTTAAAAAGTTTATATACATATATATATATATAATTTTTTAATATTAAAACACATTTCAAATTATTCTTCATTCTATTTTAAACTTTTTATCTATTGACTGTCAAGCTAATTTAAAGTTGATTGCATCCTTTAATTTAAGAATATAACTGCATATTGTGAAAATGATGTCTCACATAGAAACAAGTGTTTTTTGATAATAGAAATTGTTATATTGACAAGCTTTAGATTTGTCTTCTGACTCCATTTTATAATTAAACAATCTTAAATGCTAATAATTTAAAGAGTCATACCATTTTTATTTCAGAAGGTGGTAAGACTCCTTAAATTATAAGCATTTAAGACTGAGGAATTTAATTTTTTGATTTAGTTTTGATTGAAAATCATCATATTAACCAGCTTGCATTTTATCCTTTTATTCTCATTGTTTCTTAGTAAGTTTGAAAAAATTTAGCTTGTGCACTTTTAATAAAAAAATCAAATTATATTGTACATTTAATTTGTAATCATAAAATTGTAAAGTTAATTTTTATAAGAATTGTCAAATTATATTTATCACAAGAAACTTTTTAATAACAAATAAATTATTTATTCTAAGATATAATTGTTTTGAAAATTATGAAAATCTATTTTTATAAATTTTATATAGGAATTTATGTATATATTTTACACAGAAAATAAAATTTTCATTTTGCATTCTTTTTAATGTTTTGTGAATTGTCAATTTTAATTTAGAAAATCTAAACAGAACTTAAAAAAACCACATACAAGCACATATATTTATAATTAATATATAAAAAGTGTGTTTGTCCTTCAACTTCTTCAATTATAAATTAGAAATATAATTTAATGAGTTAATTTAGATTGGATGACAGATAGTAAGCTTCAAAGTTATTTGATATCTATACAGTTGACTTGCCTTAAAACAAACACCGATAAAATGAATTCTTATGTTAAAGCAAATTTTGCTGTTGCCTTGGCAAAATGCCATTTGTCACAATGTTAATTTTCATGAGATAAAGCAAACAAATATTTTACTGGAATTTGTTCAACTGAACTGTAAATTAACTTCACAGCTGAAAGTCATTTTAATTTATATTACAGTAGAGTCTTGAAAACTTGGCACTCGATAACCCAGCAGTCCAGATAACTCAGCCACACCCTGGCAGGGCAAAAAAATCCTTAGTTAATTAATTTTCATTATAGACAGCTTTATTCCTCGTAAAGTATTTTTCTGAGGTCTGTCTTATCAGGTAAATTACTGTACACAGTGTATTCATTAATTTTCATTTTCATGTAGTAAAGGCTCTATGCCTTCATAAAGGATGTACTTTTCCTTTGTTTAAGGGTATTTGGGCAGTTTATTCTCTGTTGTATTCTCAAGCAAACAATACATACGAGTACTGTACAGTATAGTATTTTCTCAGGAAACACTCGTACTTATTCTTTTTTAACCCCATTCTCGATAACCCGGCATTTTCACAAACTCGGCCACCCTTCGGTCCACATTAGGCCAAGTTTTCGAGAGACTACTGTAATAAAAATTTATCCATTATTTGATATCAATTATACTGTGTTTCCCAGAAAACAAGACATCCTCTGAAAATAAGACCTAGCATAGGTTTTGCTGAATTGCTAAATATAAGACCACCCCCCCGAAAGTAAGACCTAGCAAAGTTTTTTTTACTCTTAACGGTCATCAACAGATGGTTGAAAGTGGCTGTTGGCTTTTTGAAAGTACAGCCACTGATTGGTCAGCAGACAATCACGCCACACGGCATGATTTGCATAAAACTATGGCTTGGGTATCACAGATTTGCATAACGTTACTGCTGGTGATGGCTAATTGGTTGGCCGGGAATCACACCACATCACATTTGCATAGTGCTACGGTTCAATAAGCACTAATTGGTCATCGAGCCTGATGTCGACACTATAAAAAGATTAAGTTGAAGCGAGAGTGGGAAGTAGCTCTTTGGAGAAAAAGCACACTAAGGCTGTTATCTCCATTTGAACAAGGGGGAGAGAGAATAGAATAGAGAGTGGGAAGTAGGGCCCACCAGTGGCCGAGCAGTCTTTGTCCCCGCACTTGAGTGGACTAGACCCTGAACACTGGGAAGTTTGGTCGGGAGTTCGCATTGCAATCGGACAGGCTGGCTGCTTGGAGTTTTCTGGGTTTACTTTTTGCCAATAACGACTAAATAGGGGGCCAGTTCCCCATAAAAGTCCTCCTGGAATGCATTCTTTTCCCGCGCGTGCGTTTAGGTCGTTCGGATACGGCTGGCTCGTCAGTCGCATAGCGATCAATAATGCCATTCGGGAAAGAGCCTAAATTGAGCTATACTCTCCATATAAACTGAGAAGAAGAAGAGAAAGAAGAAGAAGAAGAAAGTGAGAAGTCCACTCCGGGAACAGTTCGACACGACCAGATATACGTCACTCTTGTCTAAGTTCGACTTGGGAATTTTTTGTTCAATAATAAATATGAATTCTTCTTCATGGAAAAAATAAGACATCCCCCAAAAATAAGACCTAGTGCATCTTTCAGAGCAAAAATTAATATAAGACACTGTCTTATTTTCGGGGAAACACGGTAGTATTCAGTTTTTGTTGTCAGTTTTGTTTCTTTATTTCCATTTTTACAGTATTGATGTCATTTGATGAAAATGTACAAAAGAAAAAAAAATTTTTTTCAGTCTATATCATTTATTTGAAATATAACCCAATTTATAGCCAAGTTTGAGAATTTTTTTTTTTACTTTAAAATACATTATAATGCATAAAAGGCAATACATGAAACAAAATATAAGCTGCAAATCAGATCCCAGTTGTAAACTTTAAATTAATGTAATATACGTAAAAAATATGTGAGAGAGATCATTTGAAGAATTTTTCTGTACAATTAATTATAAACGAATGCTAAAATTATTTTGGCAATATAATACTGCATCATGAACAGATGGGAAAAAATGTGGAATGTTGTTGACTTCAAAGAAATTTACTTTTTCTAACATTTGGTACATAAATGCTGGAAAAAAATTAATTTTTTAATGTTATGTTAATCAACTGTAATAATAATATTATAATTGCTATTTATTCAATTAATAAAGATTATATATAAGATATATAATTGTACATACAAAAAGTCATATATATATATGATTTTTTGTATGTACAAAGTGTGACAATTTAATTCCCTGAATGGCCATGTAGTGTTGCCTGTAATATCATTATACTGAAATGATATGCCATTTGTATTTGAACACATTTGAACTAATCCATGTTTAAATTTCAAGCTGATAGAGCTAGTTGTTAATTAGCTATTGGGAAGGTAATAGTTATCTGTGTGTACTCTTTGGCATAAAAATGAGTGACCAAAATTTAGAGTAATGTATTAATATTAAATTTTGTATGAAAATTGGCAAATACACTAATGAAACATTTCAGTATGACCCAGAAACAAAACATCAGACAGCACACACTGGAAATTCCAGAGTTCACTGCACTCTAAAAAGGTACTCTAAAATTTTGTTAGTCAGTCTTAAATTATTCAGATAGAAAATCTTTACATTGAATTATAATAGGTTTAGTTTAAAACATTTCATTCTATGACAGCTTTGTCTACCAATTTCATTGTATGTCTGAATAGTAATAAAAGAAAAAAAAGATTATAATGAAAATAATTATTTTCTATAACAGACTCATAAGTAATAACTGGATTTGTATACATATGCAAGTGTTTTCTCTAAACGGCGTGATGTCAAAACCTTGATATAAACAATTTATGGACAAGTGGATCAAATTAAGGTTGTCCAATAATGCATATTTTATATGCATTTTTAAAAACATGCAAAATATTCATTTGTGATGAAAATCTGCAAAATATTGCATATTTAGGTTTGACCATTTTTGGGACTAAATAAATGCTTTATAAACTTTATGGCGTGTTTGCATGATTGCAAGTGTTATTTTTTCAAATGATCTATAGTCTGTTTCTGCTATCTGGCAGTGAATCTTTTTTTGCACATATACAGTTCATGTGAAATTACAGATGAGTATGTAAATTTAAATGTTTTAAATTTAAACTTCATTCAAAAAAAATGAAGTCCAAATTTCCCCACAAATGTTAGTTAAAATGGCCAAAAATGTTAGTTAAATTAAAGAAAGTGCTAGAAAAGTGTTGTGAAACTATATACAGTTGACCCCCTATAACACTGTTGATAATTCCATTTTATATGAATTCCATGTTGTACGAGTCACTTAGATTTTACAAATACCTGTGCTAGGCTGTGAACGGCTCATGTATTAGTAAAATCTAAGTGAGTCATACAATATGGAATTCATATAAAATGGAATTATCAACGGTGTTATAGGGGGAGTCAATTGTAAAATATTACACAATTTTTTGAAACATTTAAATTTAAACATAATGGAAGAATTTCTTGTGAATAAAGCAATCAAACTTCTGTGTATGGAGCACATGTAGAAAAGATTTGGTTATACAGTAATACCACAAACTTACGTGATAGGTGGGACTGAGTGATAACTGCATAAGTCGGAGTATAATTTTGCAATTTATGTAAAATCCAAGTTGGATGTATGCAAGCTAATAAATGTTCTCATTAATCTTATCTCGTCATTTGATTCGTTCATGGTTACAAGAAATCACCACATAGAGTCTCTCAAGTCTCCGTAGATATAACAAACACAGAAATAAATTGTAGCTATGTGTCAATTCCGCGAGATATGTCCGAACATGTAAGCTGAACAATAGTGTGGGGCAGAATATACCATACCATAGGACATAGTTCGCCCTACCATAGGACGAACAGAGCAGCCGCTCCAGGCGCTAAGTCCTAGAGGTGCCTCAGTCGTAAAGAAAATTAAAGGGTATAAATTAGGGTCAACCAAGGGTGGCACCATAATAGGATCTCGCTCCATCCTAAAACTTGCCTTGGGCTGGCACTGGTGTGGGGGAGTGAGTAATCAAGAGTTGCGTGGCGCTCAAGAAACAAATCGACAAGATTTGAAAATCGTGTAACTCTAGGTTCGTGTAAGTCAAGGTATTACTGTATTGAATTCAGTTCAACTAACAATATGGGTAAATGTAATAACTTTCAAGAATTAGATGTGAAACAATATTAAAAACACTCAAAAACCAGAAATTCCAAAGGGGCTTTTACACGCATCTGATCCTCTGGACAAAACAAAGGAGCTTAGATACACATACATCACCCAGGTGGCATTGGATCATGGATACCATTCTAACCTCATAAAAAGTCTATGATTTTCAAATGCATGCCACTCGCAAAAATGAATGCAAAAGGTACAAGATAGTCCATAACAATCAACAACTGTCTAACCTTTACAAAGAGATGCTAAAATCAATAATTTAAATTGTTGTAGAGTTTTGTTTGTATGCTAAATGAAATCTTACAATTTATTCCTTATTAAGGAATTCTAAAGATCCAGTAAATAGCAAATCACTTCTGGGGATCTACTCCATCTTCTTACTAAAAAACATTTTTAAAAAAAGTTTACATTGGAGTGATCACAAGATCATTATACTCCTTAATCCATTTGCCCATCTACAGCATCAAAAATGGCCTATCCTCCATCATCTTGAGTTCAGACATTATCAAAAACATGATGTAGCATAAGATCAAGCCTGCATCACTCATGAGTGATAAGTTTTGGCTCTCAGGAGGACTTATCACACACTATTGATGCAGAGAAATCACAGAGATGGATGAACATTAGTTACTTATTGTACTGTAAGAGTCAAAACTTAGCACTCACATATTCAGTTATAGTAATGGCATGGAAATATGCTTTTTGTTATTCTAAGCCAAACCTAAAGTTGTTTTAAACTCTTCATCAAATCAATTTTGTGTCATTACCAATAAACACTAGTGTTGAAATTATACTTTATGTCCAATTGAAATTGCTTTGTGTGTATAATGAATCAGCTGCCAATTCATCTGAAAATGCCTTTCGTGTCCTTAGCCTTAGTGCTTATTATTGCTTACAGTTTATTATACTTACTGTTTTCTGCTTAGTATTTATTACTGGTGCTTTTAACATGTGTAATGCATATTTCAAGCATTTTAACATGCATATAGCAATCCATATATTTGGCATTTTTATGTGCGTTTTGTATGCACATATATTGCAATTTTAAATGCATATAAAAATCTAGCCCTTATTAATATACAGAACAAAATTAAATTATACTAAATTTAGTACAATTATGTTATACGATTTAGTGTAAAATAATATTAAATTAGATTATATTAAAATATTATTTACTATTTTATAATTTTTATGGTTTCTGATTTGTAATTTTATTTGTCAGTAAATGGAGATTATTCATACTGATTCTCTGGTTTTTATCTGATTATTTTAATAGCTTTGGTTTCTTAATGATCAATGATTGTGTTAGATGATTGCTGCAGTGATGATTGACTAAACTGTAAAGGTGTTCAGAAGGTCTTATAAAAATAAATTTTCAGTTTATTCAGAATTCATTCTAAAGTTGAGTCTACAGAAACATCCAGGAATACAATTATATTAATTTTTGTTCAAATTTGTTAATCATTTTTGTTTAATGAAGCAGTTCATTTTATATAGGTTATTTTCAAAGAAATATTAACATATATAGAGAAGATGCACAATCACTGAAACATGGGTATTACTAGATGTGCATTTTTTTGATAACTCCACAATTGGGTCATGACTTCTTGCACATGATAGAGAACTGCCATTACAAATCTGACATAACAAGTTATTTCCATATTGGTATTAACATTTTTTTGGAAGCACTCTGTATTCTATCTAATTATCATGAGTAGTAAATATTTTTAAAATAAAAATTAAAACAAGCTTTTTTTTTATTTTTTGAAGAGAAAATAAGTCATATTTAGAATTTTGAAAATGATGTGAAAATATGTTATAAAATGTTTTTAAATTTTCTCTTTAAAAACTATTAATATGAAAATGTGTTTGCTAATGTAAGTAATTGACGATTATAGATAACTAGGTAGCCTGACAATTCAACTAATGTTAATTAACTTGCTTTAAAATTAAATTTTTAAAAAGCATGCAAATTTATAAAATAAAATGTAATGAAATTACTAAAAAAATTTCTAATTACATTGCAAAAGAAAAAAAACAGTTGCAATTAATTTAAAAAATATTGTAATTAAGGATTCAAAAAATGCAGGCAAAATTAAATAAATAAATAAATATTAAAAATAATTATAAAAACTAAAACTAAATAAATTAAACCTAAAAATAATAATTAAATTAAAAAAAATTAAAACTCTGGCCTTTACACCAAAACCAAAATCAAAAATTAAATTAATTGAAAATTAAAACATTTAAAAACCATTTAAAAATTGTTTTGAAATTTTCAAATTGTACTTCAAATTAATTTTTAAATTTACATTATTTGTGTGTGGTAGTGATGGAACATTTTACTTTTAACACATAAATATACAGATTTAGTTTTTATACCTATATTCTGTATATAACCAAAGGTTATTATTCAAAAATCAAACTTAAAGAATAGTTGCTATGGGAATGAATAGCAGTCTCTTCAACTTCAAGTCTGAGTCAAAAATGAAGTCATTTTGTGTCTCCTATCCCTACACAAATATCTTCCTTCCCCTTTGTTAACCCTTCCACAAATTCATGCTGAGTCTACAGAGGAAGTTAACAGGTGGTCCTCTCGAGAAATAAATTGTAGCCCCCATCTGTGACCCAGTGTGACCTACTTACATGTGTTAGTTTCAGTTTTGGTGGGGATGGAACATTTTGTTTTTAATATATATACAGATATACAGATTTGTGTTTCTTACCTGGACAACTTGAGAAAATAAGATTGATTCTAGATTCAGTTAATTCATTTTTAACCTGAAATTTATAATATGAAAACAATATAAGTAAAATAACACATTTTATTAAATTTAATAAATGAAAAGTTTAAATATTAAATACCTCTATGAGAGTATTTATTGCACTCAAATCCAAAAATGAAATTGATGAACAATCAAGAATGACATATGTTATTGCTTGATCATCAGATGTCTTATTGTTTGAGACTGTTGTCGTATTTTTTCTATCAATAGATATAAAAAAATACAACATATACAAAAATGTTACATAAAAAACATAACATAAATAAAAATATACAATGAAATAATTATAAAATCTCTTGTAAATGTATGTTCATTAAATAGAACTTAAAAAATTACACATAAAGTTGTTTAATTTTAGATGTGTGGCGATTAGCTGCCAACAAAAGAGTTCAGGTAGCACAATTGAATAGGAGTCCGTACTCTAGACGAGGAGTTGACAAAAGGATGAAGCACGTGTTCGAATCGGTCTTTTAAAACCTCCAAACTCCCTCTGGTGGCGATCGGATGAAGTTCGGAATTGGTCGCCACAGTACTCCCCCCAAGTGCTGAAGGCACGAGGAGCTAGAGGAAGCGAGGATTGAAACGGACTCGACGTCCCGAGCGGGTGGTCGTCGATGAGGTGGCCGGGGTGGGAAGCGACGTGTCTGTTGGAACTGGCTGGACCGGAGTGTGCGACGTTGTGGTTGGTGGTGGGACGTCGGGATTTGATCCGGCTTCGGGCGGTGACGAGAATGCAGGCTTTAACCGATCGACGTTTATAGCTGATGTTCGTCCGTCGATTCGGACCTTGTATACCGTTCCCTGCCGCGATATCACTTCGTATGGTCCATCGTAGATTGGTTGAAGTGGCTTGCGAATTGCATCACGACGAATGAATACATGACTGCAGGTGGACAGTTCCTTGTGTATGAAAACTGCACGTTTTGAGTGTGCAGACGTCGCTACTGGCCGCAGCTTCCTCATGGTTTCGCGGAGCTGACCGACAAAGGAAGTTGGGTCTATCACTGAGCTGGGTTCTGAAACAAAGAACTCTCCGGGGAGTCGTAGATGGGTTCCATAGACCATCTCTGCTGATGTGGCATTGATTCCTTCCTTGATGGTAGAGCGCAAACCCAAAAGGATGGTCGGGAGCACTTCGGTCCACCTCTCGGTAGCGTGGCACTTAAGAGCTGCCTTGAGTGGACGGTGTAGACGCTCGACCAGACCGTTGGAGGCTGGGTGGTAGGGAGAGGTGCGAATACGCTTCGAACCGAGTAAGCTGGCTAGCGCTTGAAAGAGGGCTGATTCAAACTGCCTACCTTGGTCTGTGGTGATCTGTTTCGGTACGCCAAATCGGGCGACCCATCCGGAGTAGAATGTTCTCGCTATTGTTTCCGCTGAGATGTCTGGTATTGGGAATGCTTCTGGCCAACGTGTAAAGCGATCCACACAGGTCAGACAGTAAACGGATCCATGAGATGGAGGTAGGGGTCCAATGATGTCGATGTGGACGTGCGAGAATCGTTCGTCTGGCATGGACAGATTAGCGAGCGGGGCGGAAGTGTGACGAGTAACTTTGCACCGCTGGCACTGTAGGCAGGAGCGAGTCCAAGCGGTGGCGTCGGCTTTCATGGAAGGCCAGATAAATCTCTGCTGCAAGAGCTTAATCGTAGCTCTGATGCCGGGGTGTGAAAGGTTATGCAGCATGTTAAAGATTTCTCTGCGTAATGGTGATGGTATATAAGGGCGTACTGTCCCCGATGAGACGTCACAATAGAGCTGGCAGGTAGAGTCGTCGACCGTAAGCCGGCTGAAAGACAGCCCTGTAGCGTTTGGCTTGTCTAGCAGCTCCTTAAGCTCGCTGTCGTGTCGTTGTTGAATGGCGAGTTCTTTGTAGTCGATCTGCGACGGCGTGTTTATCGCAGCTATACGGGATAGAGAGTCCGCAACTATGTTGTGAGAACCCTCTATGTGACGTATGTCCGTAGTGAACTGCGATAAAAAATCGAGGTGTCGAAGCTGTCTTGGAGAGGCTTTGTCGGGGCGTTGCCGAAATGCGAAGGTTAGCGGCTTGTGATCAGTAAACAGGATGAAGTCACGACCTTCTAACATGTGTCGGAAGTGTTTTACGGCCGCGTAGGCGCTCAGTAACTCACGGTCGTAAGTACTGTAGTTGCGCTGTGCGGCCGACAGCTTATTGGAGAAAAAAGCGAGCGGTTTCCATGACCCCTGGAACTTCTGTTGTAGGACGGCGCCTATAGCCGTGTCCGAGGCGTCGACCATCAGTGCAAGTGGCCTCGCGGCTGATGGGAAATTCAACACAGCGGCATTTGCGAGCGCTTCTTTGCATTGCGAAAATGCACGTCGCGCTTCCGGAGTCCATACGATTTTTGTATCGTCGTTTTTCTTGCTTCCGGACAGAAAGGAGTTGAGCGGTGCTTGCGTGTGCGCGGCTTTGGGCAGAAAACGTCTGTAGAAGTTTAACATTGCCAGAAACCGGCGCAGCTCTCGGATGGTAGAGGGTTCAGGAAATTTTCGGATGGCTGAAACCCTTTCCGGAAGAGGACTCACGCCCTCCGCTGAAATCTTATGGCCGAGGAAAGACACAGTCTGCTGTCCTAGTGAGCACTTAGAAGGATTTAAGGTTACGCCGTATTCGAGAAAACGTTGGAAAACTTCTCGGAGGTGTCGTGTGTGCTCTTCTTTGCTCTTGGATGCCACTAGCACGTCGTCAAAGTAAGGTACGCAGTAATCCAGACCATGGAGGACTTGATTGATGAACCTCTGGAAGGTCTGGGCTGCATTACGGAGACCGAACATCATCACCGGAAATTCAAACAGCCCAAAAGGTGTTGTGACTGCTGTTTTCGGAATGTCGTCTGGATGGACAGGCACCTGATGGTAGGCTCTGGCGAGGTCAAGTGTAGAGAAGATTGTAGATCCCTCTACCACTTGTGTGCAGTCCTGGATGTGTGGGACTGGATACCTGTCAGGCACCGTAACAGCATTTAGGCGGCGATAGTCTCCGCAGGGACGCCAGTCGCCATAACGCTTGGCGACTAAGTGAAGTGGGCTTGCCCACGGACTCTTAGATTGGCGGCAGATACCTTGCTGTAGCATGTAACTGAACTCTGCCTTAGCTGCTTTGAGCTTGTCCGGGGGAAGGCGTCTCGGTCTGCAAAACACTGGTGGACCTGTAGTCTCAATATGGTGAAAAACGGAAGCCTTGCCGCTTCTCGTTGCTATTAACGAGGGATTCGTGATCGAGGGAAATTCGGCCAGCACTCGCTGGAAGTCAGAATCTCCGTGTATGGTGGTGATGGTGAGATTTGGTGTTGGTTTGGGGCGTTCAGTGCCTCTAGACTTCAGCTGCGTGGCTGCATCTATGAGGCGGTTTTTTCGTGCGTCCACCAATAGGTCGAAGTGAGTTAGAAAGTCTATGCCTATAATCGGTTGAGTGACGTCGGCGATGATGAAAGGCCATGGAAAGCTTCTTCGCAGGTTAAAATCCAGCGTTAGCAGCTTGGTGCCGTAAGTTGGGATTTTCGTGCCATTGGCAGCAAAGAGAACTAACTTCCCAGGGGTTTTTGCTTGCAGTGAGAGAGATTTAGGAATCACTGAAACATCTGCGCCAGTGTCAACCAAAAAACTCAAGTTTGTAGATGGGTCAGCCATAAATATTCGGTCAATCGAGTGGTCGCAACTGTTGGCCCCAGACGGCCGCTCTGCTAGTTTCCCGACGGCTGAAAAGAGCAGGGAGGTGTGCATTTCCTGGCTCTCTCTCCGAAGTTGGTGTGGTAAAAGCATTGATTGTTCATCGGTTCTTTGAACTGGCGGTAACGGCCTCGGGACTGGCTACGATTTCGGGAGTGGAACGTTGGACGATTATTCCTCTCACGTGGTCGCTCACGATGCACTATGGCCGATAATTCTGCTACTTGATTGGTAAGCTGCTCAATTTGGAATTCTAATGAGGATGGGTGCGTTAACTGTTGACTCGAGGTGGAATTTACACTTTGCGTGATGGTTAGGTCCGAGATTTTGTCGGCTATCGTAGCTAGTTGGGGTAGGTCCTCGCTTAGCGCGGCAAGAATACTTTGAGTGTTCGCTGGTAATCTTGATAGCCACAAGGACTTTAATAGTGGTTCCCCAACCGCCTCGCCGGCGAGAGCACGCATACGATTTAACAGTTGTGACGGGCGCTGGTCTCCTAACTCCAAGCCTTGCAGGAGTGTGCGAATCTTTGATTCTTGACTTTCCGAGTGTAGCTCAATGAGACGTTTTTTGAGGGCCTCGTATTTTTCGCTGGCCGGTGGGTGTAGAATTAAGTCACTAACTGAGTTGAGCACCTCGGACTCGATTGCTGAAATCACGTGGTTGAATTTTGTGGAGTCTGCGGATATCCCGGAGATGGCAAATTGTGCCTCGAGTTGCGCGAACCATAACGTCGGATTCGGCTTCCAAAACGGCGGAGGCTTAACAGCGACTCGAGTTACGTTGACGGCCATTGTTTCTGGCTGGTCGCTGAGCGGCATGCTGATTTTCAGAACAAAGGATGAGAGCCCAAAAAAAAATCGGTTAAATGTGAAACGCACGAATTGTTCGATAGCCGGGCGTACGAGTAGAGAGTTCCGATGAGCGAGAAAAAAAAATGATACGCTTACCTAGCGTAAGTGCGGGAAGTTACTCGACCTTTGTTCTGTGGCCATGTGGTTGCTCCAAAAAATATCACAAAATAAAATATGCGGTGAATCCGATTTTGCGGATGGAACAAAAACCGTTGAAATTAATGGCGTGAATGTCCAGATGAAATTGGATTGAGGTTGGATCACGTTCGGCTCACCAATGTGGCGATCAGCTGCCAACAAAAGAGTTCAGGTAGCACAATTGAATAGGAGTCCGTACTCTAGACAAGGAGTCGACAAAAGGACGAAGGCACGTGTTCGAATCGGTCTTTTAAAACCTCTGAACTCCCTCTGGTGGCGATCGGATGAAGTTCAGAATTGGTCGCCACAGATGTAATACAATGTTTTGAATTCATATGAAATAAATTTTATCAAGGAAAATATAAAATATATTTATATGTAATATACATTTTTCAAAAATTTAAATAATCTTTTAAGCTACTTAGTTTGAACTAATGTTTTTCGATAAATATAAATAGTTTTGTCAGATGAAAATATTAAACACTTTTCATTGATAGCATACATTTTGTGATATTGTTTGTACTGTATTGTTCCAAATATAGTAAGTTTTTTTAAATTTCTAGTTCTCAAAATTAAAGGTTGTACCAACTTAAGCTTGTGATATCTAAATGATTATCAAAGTGATCTTTATCTGTCTGACTACAGATAAAGATCACTTTCATAATAATTTAGATATCATACTATCAACAAGTTAATCATACTACATAATTTTGCAAGCCAATATAAAAATTGTTCTACAATTGTTCAACTTTTATGTAGCTATTGAGTTCACTGAATGTGTCAATGCTCTGTTTCAATTAACTTGGCCTAAGCTATTCTACACTGCATATTTGTGTTATGTGGTAATGTGCATGAAAAAGAAAACTTACAAATCATATCTAATCTTAGTATTTTTATTTTATTTTATTTTAGAAAAACAGGAATGTGCTCTCCTCATTACAATCTATCACTGATTATTATTTACACATAATTTTACAAGGCACTGTTTAGTTCATTCTTATTTTCATTTAAATGCTTCAAGTTTTATATACAATGTAATACTCAAATCCAAACAAAACACATCTGAAATGCAAAAAACTGCATCAAATAAAAAATTATGATAATTTAAACGACAGTCATATTTTTTTTTATTTGGTAAAGATAAGCTTGGTGCTTTACACTGATATTGGAATCTTCATAAACAAAATCTGTAAAGTTTAAGGTCTAGGAGCATACTGCCATAATCAGCTCTTAAAACTTTCTCATTTTCCTTGTTTTTGTTTTAGTAACCCATTAAGTTTATAGATTAATTTTAAAGTTTTAAAGTTTAGTTTTATTACTAATGTACAGTATATGTTTAATTTGAGATAAAAGAGTAAACATGAGTATCACTCTGAACAGAGTCTATATCAGATGAAAGAAATGGAAGGAGACATGTGATTAACACATGAGTAACATTAGAATTAAAATTAATAAAATCATCTATGTTAAAAATGGTATAAAAACGTTTTAAAAATGAAAAAAAGCTGAAAGAGATCAGAATCGTGTCTCAACTTCCAAGGGTTGGCCACGTCTCTTTCCATCCCTTTTGCTGGTGCTCAAAGAGGAATATGGAACATTCCTCTTTGAGAAGTCATCGCCACTACCACTATTTCCTAAAAGAACCCCTACTTCTCAAACTGGTTTGTGCATAAAATGACTCATACATCCAAGAAGGTTGTTTAATTAAGGTTGTTAGAAAAGTTCTAGAAGGGGAAAAAACAAAGAACAGGGGAAAGCTACTAAAAATTACAAACAAATTAAAATACACTATGGCATACAGCCAAAATTATATTCAGACAATCATTTGATAGGAAACTAGGTGTTACAATGGTGAAGAACATGAACCAAAGAACAATTTTTTATGTACAAGGCTCAAATCTATGCTATCTCATATAATAAAATTTCTAAAACTTTTCAAAATAAAACACTTTAAATCTTTTCTTTCTAACTGNCTAATGAACTGTTTACCTCAATCTCTGTAATTATCAACATGTTAATAAACTTGTTTTTGAATACTAGGTACTAGTTAAAGCAATTAAATTCTTAAAAGTATTCAATTCTACACCAGACCTTGTGTCTATATGTCCCCTTGTCATAAGATCTTTGTATCTCTGACAAGGTTTGAAATTGTTCTTGGGATACAATTTATCACATTCTGGCCGACAGTTACATGAAGACGATTTTACCCATTTATATACAAGTGGAATCCCAATTTGTGCTTTATTCAGGTTTTCATACCAAAAACTTTGTCCATTTCTGCATTTGGAAGGTTTTGGATTTATAGTAAGATTTAACAGAGAAAATCTTTCTGAAGGATTTTTTCTATTTAGGCAGGTTCTACTGATAAGTGCATCTTCCAAAAAAATGTTTTAGACAAATTCTCTTTCAATATTTATAATTATATAAGATTGCAATTTGCAACTTAATGTATAAGGAATTTTTGCTATAAATTGAATAGGATATTTGATACCAGTCTCTTGAATTAATTTTCTAACCACTAACAGAAGTATGCACAATTTTTCAAACAAATATTGATAATTTATTATAATAATATAATACATTATATGAATTATATCATTAAATATGAATAATATTAGCATCTATGTATTTTACAATAGTAAAAAGATTATTTCTAATAGTGTAAAATTAAAAGTTTTTATGATCTTTACATATTGTTGTAACTTTGTTATAACTTTCAGATATCTATAGTTTTATTGCAATTAACAGATATCTAACATTTATAATTAAATTAAAAATACTCATTTTCTATTAAATTATAGAACAAGCAAAAGAAAATGTTCCAACTGAGAAATTGTGTACAGTGTGTATAAATAATGAAAAAGGTAAAATTTAAATTCTATTAGGATTAAAATTCATCATTAATCTCACAAATTTTATTTAACATTTGGAATTTTTATTATGCCAAATCAGGAAATAACTATGAAATGAGTTAATAAATAACAGTCATATTAAATCAAAATTATTTTGTTTAACAATAATTTGTTTCAAAATTTATAATATAAATACTAGTCATGATTTACATACAGTATAATAATAATGATTAAACTACATTAATTATAATATATTATTTTTAATTTTTAAATCTTATCATATGCAGGATTGAAAAACTTCTAAAATTGCATGCTAACTAAAAAAAAATCAAACTATAGTGAATGTTGTTCTGAGCAATTATTATTTCTTTTACTAAATTATAAAAACTAATTTTACTATATTAAATTTTTAAATCAAATTTAATTTAACTTCATCTTATTTATGCTAAATAAATTAAAATTAAGTGTAGTTTTTGTATTTGCATAAAATGAGTTGAAAAATTATTAAATTGGTGAGTACTTATGCTTTTATAAAACATATTATCAAAATTTTAAAGTATTTCTATGGAATAGTTGCTTCTATATTGTTTGTTTACATTCTGTGGGAATACAACCCATATGTAAATCATAACTATAAATTTGATTAATTTGAAAAATAAATGATTTTTCAAACTAATATTACTTTGAAAATTATAACAATTAAAATTAATATTTTATTTCTTTCAATTTATATAAAATTAATAATTTTATTTCTTACTGCATCTAGACGGGATACTTTCCACGTGGTCCAAAAATCTTTCATTTGTAGGAACATTCCTTTTAATGCAACAAGTATGACAGCTGACAGAATACACTGAAAAAGTTAAAATAATTTTTAAAAATAATTTGAATTTTATTATTTCAAAAAGTAGATTATTTTTTATATTATGAATACTCATTATATATATATTTATATTTATCACACAAATAAATAAATAAATAAATAAATAAATAAATATATATATATATATATTTATTTGTGTGAGCAGAATATCAATGTGCAGTTGAATGGTATTTTAAATGATAAATGATGATGCCAAATTTTTATCTATCTTTTTATTTGTTTTAACAAATGGAGATATAACAGTAAGAATCAAACTGAAATTAGATTTAAAGATTTATATCTATAACACCATATTATAATAGAAAAACGTAGTTATTACAAAATTTGTAAAGAAAAAAAAAATGCAAATTAAATGAATTGTGCAATACAGGACAGAATTATTGTAAAATAAATTTTTTTCTTTTAAATATCAGAAATGTATTTGTTTATGTAAGACTTAACAACAGAATACAACATATCTATTTTCTAATAAATTAATCCAACTACAACTTTATGTATTAGGAATTATTATGTAGCAGAGTGAAAAATTTTGAAGGAATCATGAAATAGAATTTTTTTCTTTTAAGGAGCAATATATTTTGATATACAGTGGGTGATCGGTTAACGAACATAATCCATTCCAAGACTTTGTTCACTATCCGAATTGTTTGTAATCCAATTATTGATAACAATTGTTATCTAATTATTGATTTACCATAGGTTTCTATGGGAATTTGATTAATTCATTCTGGAGACTCCAAAAAATAAAAAAAGTATACTTTCTTACTACGTTTATTTATATGTAATAATAAAAAAAATATATATATACACAGTCTTGCATATTTATTAGTTATGTTTTTTTGTTTGTAGGGGTTAAATAATCTGTCTAATGTCGATTGCTTTTCTCTCTTTTTCAGGATTTTCAAATAGCATTTTAATTGTAGAGATCCCCAAGCCTGTTAACCTCAACCTGGTTTGTATGACATTCTAAGACCGTCGATCTGACATCCCCACTTCTTCAAAAGATCTTTAATTAATAGCAGATATCGGCATTAATTTTCTTTTTCAGAATAAAACATATCTTGCCGAGTTTCTTGGTGTTCTTTGGTGAACATCAGACATCTTCTGCCCAATCTATAACTTTGCTATTATACTCTCATCTTTCGAAAATAAAAACTCACGCAAAACTTAACGAGTGCCCACCTGACAGTCTCGCGAATACTATAAAAGAATTGTTTCTGTCAGAAAAATAAAAGGCTGGAATTACAAGGGAGTATAGTGGTACCTCAGGATACGAAATTAATCTGTTCCAAAACTGAGATCATATCATGAAAATGTCATAAGGTGAATCATTTTTCCCCATACGATTACATGTAAAACCAAATAATTCATTCCAACACGAAAAATACACTCAAATTAAATCTAAGTAGTACATTAAAAAAAATTAATAATAATAAATATAGTAAGGAAAACACTGAAAAATGCATTTTGTAGTTGTAAATGTATAAATAACCATAATAGAATAATAATTGATTAAAAAAAATGTAGTTTTATTTGCACTTTACCTTTGAGGATAGACGACAGTGGAGGTGTAAAATGGTTGCAGGGCGATTGGCCAGTATTACGCATTTATAACTCAGTTGCACAAAAGATGTAATAGTTTTAATTAACGATAATAAAAAATCGATTTATTTAGCTTCGAATTCAACAGTTTGAATTTAATTTCTGTGACCAAGCATTTCGCTTCGCCACCCCATTTAGAGTCGCGATCCATACTTTAGGAAATACTCACCTAGAATATCGATGGTGATTTTTTCAACCTAAGCGTAGCTACAGGAGAAAGTAACTGAAAGTTAATCGGTTATTTCGGAGNGAAATTTTGTAGTTTCAATATATATATTTTTCTTTTTAATTTTTATCCACTATTTTTTGCTTTCTTTCTTCACTTCCACCAGCACTTTCACTGGATAGAGGTAACTTGGTAAAATATCTATCCAAAGAGGTTTGGCTTTGCCTACTTTTTAAAATGTTTCTAAAATGACTTAGGCAAATGTCATTACTCCTAGCAGCAATACGGCCAGTGTGAACCTTGTCGGGATGTTTCTTTTCAATAAAATCAGTCACTTTCTGATAATACCTCAAGATTTCCTTTATCTAGCGAGATCCTTCCACGACGAAGCAAACATGTGGACTGAGACCAATGAACAGAAGTGAATAAAAAATGGCGCTGCGAACTAATGTAATGTCATATGGTGAGTTTTTGTTCATATCATGGAGCAAAAGTATGTTCGATTTTCATGTCGTATCCTGAAAATTTTCTATGCTGGGGCGTTTGTATCCTGAAGTACCACTGTATTTCAAAGTTTGAGGAATACTATCCGATCAGTATATATCGGGTTGAACGTCAATGTCAACATCTCCCTCACTCTGAAAAGTTTCGAATTGTTACCTGAAGACAAGGGAAAATCAATTGGTATTTGCTATTTCCGTTGCTTCTTTTTATGTTTGTTCAGTGAAGTGTTCGTTGTCTGATCATAAAAATCTTTCGCGTAAGTGTTCGTTATCCGATTTTTTCTTTAATTGATCACCCACTGTAATTTTAAATTAGAAATTTTGTAGTTTCATGTGATAAAATAAAAACAAATTATATTATTGTTATTTGAATCATTATGTATTGTCCCTACTGTATTCTGTGACTATACAGAGTAAGTTTATTCATAAAGTATTAATGAATTAAGTATAATTTTTGTTACAGGTGAATATGGAATGTTTGTAAATCTGTTTCTGGATCCAAGTTTGGAGCATAGAACAAAAATTATAATCAGGAATGTATTGATTTAGTGTTTGAGTAGGCAGCATCTTAAAAATGTAATTTTTGCAAAAAAAATAACAATAATTTTTGTATGAATTTTCTTGAAATATAAACATTAAGCTAAAATTGGTACAGTCAACTGCAATCATATCAAAGCATAATAGATAATCTGTATTTGAACTAAAAAGAAAAGATTTCTTATAATATGAAAAGTCTAGCCATTTTAAAACTCAAAAAACTAGTTTTTAATAAATTTAATATTAAATTCCTTTTCTATTTATTTATTTAAATTACATACTAAAGGATAGAAATAGCAAAAGCATTGATATGAATTTGAATTGCCAATTTTGTAATGGTTAAAGTTATGAAAAATTCATCAGTTGCCTTTTCCATTTTTGACATCTAGACATTCTTTTGATTATTAGCTTATCAATGTTAGTGAAGATATTAAGAAAAGATAATCAGTCTTTAACATTAACGTTTTAAGAAACAAAAATTATTTAATTTTATTCTTTGTTTGTTTGTTTGTACAGGTGTTTGTTTATTTTTTTGTTTCTGGGAATTGTTTATTAAATTGTGGGAAAAGTGATCTTCAATCTAAGACTTATGGAAAAATTGAATGTCTCGTGAATGGGTTCTTTTCTATATTTTGAATGTTAATTTAGTTTTTAAATTGTTTGCTTAAGTTCAAAACTAGTTTATGTTTTGTTGTTTTTCTTGATGTTTTAATATAATATTCAGCAATTTAAACAGTAACAATAAAATGATCCATTTACAGAAATACAATAGCATTTATATCAATAATCCCTTAGAGCACAAATTTATCTACTCTTCCAATCTTGTGAATTTTTTTTCTACTTGTATATTATTATGAGAATCTTAAAACTTTTTTAACAATCTATACTAAATCTAAACTTTACTTTTTCAAATTAAAAAAATTATTCAGCTACAAAAATATCTATAAGATATTAATCACAAAAATCAAATTTACATTTATTATGCATAAATTATTTCAAATATTGAATTTAAACTAAAAATTTTTTCTTTCAATGAAATTATATCAGCAATGTCTACATTTAAGAAAATGTTTTTTTAATTATTTAAAAAATGTATCTTTGTATCTAATAATTAAATTAAAATAACTGAACTAGATTTTTTATAAATAATAAATATAACTCCAGTTTCATAAATTAATAACTTACTAAGCTCCAATAAAGCAACTTTTAAGTTTAGATTTTTTATTGATGGAAAAGATCTATTTTATTCATAAAGATGATGTAATAGTCACTGTTATAACTTAACTGAAAATTACTTAATGCACCTTTAACAGAGAGATTTTTAAAAGAGAGAACTAACATTTTTGACCCAATTAATGGGTTGTCTGATAACAGATATGGACATTAAAAAAATGAGTGCCATCATGTTTCAATTGTCTTCAGATATAACAAATATTCAAAAATCAGAAAATGTTCCAACATAACATTCAAAATACAAAATTCAAACTGTTCTGGAACTTTGTATTTTTATTACATTGATGTGTGAAAAAAAAAAAATAATTTTTAAAAATAAATTTCATACAGTACTTGTTTCTTCTTTGTGATTAGTATTTAATATTTAAACTAATAAAATCTTTTCATTATTTCATATTTTATTTTTATTTCATAATTATATATCTTCTCAATACATATTATGAAATAACTGTTATAATTTTAACTAAGGATTATGCTTTATTCATTTACTTTTAAAAAAATTTTCTATACAATATTGGCTTTAAAACAAAGAAAGAGAAGATATAAGTTATGTAGAGAAGTTTTCCCAGTACCATGCACCTAAAATTTTTTTGAAATCAGAAGAAAATGATAGGTGAATCATAATAGTAATACTGTCAAGTTATAGTTAGACATTTATTTTATTTTAAAAATGCTGTTTTCTAGTAATAAGCAGATATTAGAAATTACTTGTGTGCTAAATATTCTAATGAACAGCAAGAAATTTAAATAAAATATTCTTCTTAAAATCATACTAAATGTTTATATCAAATTAAATTTTATTGTTATTATTTCTCAAAAACAAAAAACAATAAAGTAACAAAATACTAAGTTTCTTAGAGACAGAAAATCTGCACAAGTCACATGTGTAAAATTACATTCTCTTGATCACTATGTTCAATATGAGCCTA